GTCCCGGGGCCGCCCGCTGTCCCCCCGGCAGGGCCCAGCAGCGCCTTCCCAGCTGTGTCCCGCCCGCCGCCCCTCCCGCCGAGCGGGATTTGTGCTGTGTCAGCCTCAGCCCTCGGTGTCCGTGTCCGGCCCCCGCCCGCTCGCTTGTGAAGCGGAGTCGCCCGTCCGATGTGTCGCCTTCCCTTCCATTCTGCTCTTCTGCACTCGCCGGTGCAGCTCTCCGGGCTGTTTGCTGTGTTTTGTTTCCTTTCCTCGTACCGACAGTGCGTGTTTCATAACACTGTAATTAGAACCTGTAGGAATCACATCGTCTTGTGTACGCTGCCTTCCTCTATGAAAAAAAGATGGGAAAGAGGAGGCGGTCTTGAGCTACGCCAGGGGAGGTTTAGGTTGGACATTGGAAGGAATTTCTTCCTCGAACGAGTGATTAGACATTGGAACAGGCTGCCCAGGGAGGTGGTGAGGTCCCTGGGAGTGTTTAAGGGAAGTCTGGACGTGGCACTCACTGCTATGGTCTGGTTGACAAGGTGGTGTTTGGTCATAGGTAGGACTCGATGGTCTCAGAGGTCTTTTCCAACACGATTGAAACTGTGATATTCTGTGATTAGACCATGCTCTTTAACTTATTTTTGAGCTTTTGCATATCTCCGTCTGTGTTGTTTCTTAAGATTTTACTGTTGCCTTAAGTGTTCCTGGCTTGAAGTTTTTCGGGTGCCTCATGAAGCAACAACATTGTTAAAGGTGTGACTTGAAGTTGTTCCCTTAAGAACTGTTGAACTGTAGGATTCATGTGGCTTCAAGAAGTTCACTCCCAGATGGGATGTGAACAGAAAGGTGTAGTTAAATTCCTTTTGTTGACACAACTCTCCATGTGCTTGGAGAACAGCATTTTCTGCTGGATAGTAAACATACTGATGGAAATCAAGGTCTTGTGAGACCACAGATTGGGCTGTGTTGGTGTAAGGGATGGGATGGAGCAGCTCTTAAAGAACCACAGCCCTTGGGAAAGAGTCACATTGCAGAATTTGAGAGGGACCCCATGCTGGAAGAGTATGAGGAGTCCAACCCCTGAAGAGGAAGGAGCAGTGGAGACAGGGTGTGAGGATCTAATTGCAGGAAGGCTGGGGAGGAGATTTGTTTTTATTTCCCATGATCCTGCTCTGGTTTTTGATTAGTAATAAGTTAAATAAATTTTTCGCCAAGTCACATCTGTTTTGCCTGTGAAAATAACAGGTGAGTGATCTCCCCCTGCCCCTATCTCTTCCCATGAGCCTTCCTCATGAGCCATTCTCTCCCCTGCCTGGCTGAGGAGGGCAGTGACAGAGGGACTCTGGTGGGTCTCTGAGTAGTTTCAACCTGATATATGAGGGGCAGAGAAGTGCATGTTGTAACTTATGTTCAGTATTTTTTATTAAACAAAGATTGTGCGCAAAGTGGGGCCTATTAGATGCTGATGTTGACTGGGTGGATGTAGATGTACAGGAGAGAAATAAATTTCTGTTTGCAGGGCTGTAACCTAGTTTTGTCATTGTGTGTGCTGTGAGGATTTGTTTGTTCTTATGAGCCCTGGAAAAGGCAGAGCGTGACTTCAGCCAGGTATTTCTGAAATGGAAGAGTTGGGAGAGTTCTAATGACACCCAGTCCACCCTGGGCCCCGTGGGATCAGGGCAGCTGACCCGTGGCAGAGCTGATCATTAAACTGTTCTGATACATGTGCTGGGAAAGGGAGTTGGGAAGCCCAAGAACTTTCTCACACTGTGTGGAAGCAGCTGTGTTTGAAGGATGCAGAGTGCTGAAAGAATAGTCTGGTTTTGTGTTAGCAGAGATTGGGTTTGTTGTTTGGGTAGAAACATGTTTCAAACTTCACAATCATGGTAACGTTGAGCCTTTACGCTCCACACTTCCCACTGGAGACAGGCATTTGAGAACACCTGGAGAATAGGCTTTCAGCGGTGTTTGATTCTGTACACTTCATCCACTAATATCTATGGGAAAAAATGAATAAAGGGAAAAAAAAAAACCCGAGAGAAATTGAAAATGTTAGTTAACAATCATTTTGGGGTGGCCATTGTGGTGGGATAGCTGTTCTGATATGTCCATCTGTGTTTGGTTTCTGCCACCATCTGCTTGTTCCTCTCTTCCTCTCCTCTGCACTTCACTTACATTTTCTTTAGAAAATGAAGAAGTGGATTATTCTTTCTGCTTCCAGAGTATTTTCTAGTCAAGCAAGGAATAATGTTTTTATTTATCTTAAAAATGAGGTGGCATTTGTGATGGTAAGTGTACATTGTTCAAGCAAGTTTCTCCTAAAGTGTTTTTGCTTGCAGCCATAATCCCAACATTCTTGAGCTCAGTGTTTAAAACCTTCATGGCACATTCTGGTGACAGGATGGTGTAAGGGTATTAAAGATCCCATTGAACTCATGGGAAGTTGCAATAAAAGGGATTTCTCCCAAGAGAGCATGAGGTGAAGCAGGTCTGCCTTAGGAAACTGGTTTGAAATATTAAGGTGAGATGTTAGAGGCCTCTGGACACACCAGGTAACGGGCTTGTGTTGGGGGACTGATGAGTTACTTTGTGGCATCAAGTAATTGCCGGCAGCAGTTTCTCTCTTTCGCACAGTGAACCTGTTCCTGACACTGAGACAGGTCTGGCAATGCAGGTGCCCCAGGGGATGGTGTGAAGTTGTGTCCAGGGAGGTGTAGGCTGGATTTCAGGAAAAGGTTCTGTCCCCAGAGGGTTGGGCAATGGAACAGTCCCTCGGGGAAGAGTTCAGAATGAATTTGGAAAATGGTTTCAGGTACATGGTAGGATTTCTGGGGTGTCCTGTACAGGGCCAGGAGTTGTACTCGATGATCCTTGTGGGTTCCTTCCAACCCAGGATATATTATGATTCTGTCAACATCCCCAGTACCAGTTGGTAGCTGTTCTGTAGATGATTTTATAGCCTACAGAGGTGGAAAAGCCTTTGATTCTTTGAGTCTAAAGTTAGTAGTTCATTTGATGCAAAACCTCATCTGTTCTGACTGAGGTGTTTAAAATTATTCTTTCCGAAGGTTAGACATGTTCTGATCATGAAAATACCAGGCCACTCATAAAAAGTGCTTTTCAGAGTGAAAAAATGAAGGGGTGTGAGTGTGTCAATAAAAAGCTTTCAATTAAAATGTTTGTTTCTTTTTAAGAATGTTTGTAGAAACCCTCCTCCCTTTTTTCATAACGTAAGTATTATTTTAATATTTTTTTTTACAAAATGGTAATTTGTACACATAAGCTGTTTGTTAGTTATTTGCAGCCAAGATGTATCAAGTCACTTTCCAAGTTAAATAAGTGAAATGATGTGGAGGAGGAGGAGGAGGTGAATGGTTTAATGTCCTGGCTTTCTGGCATTTCCAGAATGGCAATCCTCTCTTACTGAGTAGTTATGAAATGTTGGATATGGGAAAGTCAGGTTTATCTCTCTCCTGAAAGGAAAACACTTCCCTGATGACTGTGTGCTGAGGGGAATTAAAGTCTTCTGACAACCTGTAATGGTTTTGAGTAAGTTCCTCATACAGGAAGTAAATTATTGCACAAAAAGAGTCTTTTCCAGAAATGATCTATGTTTTCCCTATGTAGACTTACCTGATCAGATTTAAGAGATGAGGAAGTGTGACTGTGAATTGTTTACAGATCATTCCACTAAGTGAAATAAAGTGATGTTTGTTTGAGAAACAAGAAACATGAGAGTTTGGGGATCTAGAATTTTGAGGCTGTTGTTCTGGCTCAGTGTTAAGCAGAATTATGAATTATGTCAAGTTCTGTTGCGCTTGACCTGTTGACTTTTCTGATGTTTTTCCTGTGATCTGGCAGTTTTGATTTTAGGATACAATTGCTACTACAAAACTGTAATAAATGAACCCTAACCCCTAAATGAGAAAGGGTTATCAGACAAAAAGATGTATGAGAACAAGCAGCTGTTCAGTGGGCAGTTACAATATTAATCAGTGCATCATGGCACAGAACTTTATAAAACGTGAGCTATCAGCATTTTCATTCAGTCATTCTCAGACTCTACTGTGAGCAGCCTCTGCCCTGTTCATGTCTTTCAGCATTCTTTTTTCTCCAGCAGTTGGTTGTGTGGAAAAGTTAGTGTTAGGCAAGTATTTAGATATTTTTAGTAGCCTAATCGGATGAGCACATGTCCTTTTGCAACAGTGTGTGGTGAAGCAGCTGCCTGCCTGTGAGCATTTGGAAACAGGAGAGGAGGCTGAGCCGCTCTGGGCACAACAGCTGCATTGGCCACACTTGGAAGCACTGCACTTAAAGCAAGAGGAAAGGTTCCCACGTAAAATAGCCTAAATATTTGCTTGCTTATGCAGAAGAATAATAATAGAGGTAGATACTGTCTATCTTGCTCCAGTAATGCCAGGGGAAATTGAGACACGTGGTTGAAAACCACTTTTCCAAAACTGTGTTTTTGATACTTGGCCCTGTGAGAGGCCTTGTGACCAGATAGCAGCACTTCACTGGAGGATTCCAAATGTAGCTCCTGATCTTTAACAAGTCAAAAATATTGCATGGAATGGCAACTGGGATGAAACAAACAAGTGGTTTGTTGTTGTCACTGAATAATGGACTACTATACTTCCATACTTGTGACTCAGATTCTTCATCAAGACTGCAGTCCATTCCAAGCTGCTAGGAAGTAATAGAGATTGAAGATAAAGAAATGGTTGCAGACCAGTGTACTTGTTGAAAGATGGTTAATATTAATCAGAATCTATTAACCCACACCCTCAGTAAAATGGTGTTTTGGGACTTAAATGTACGATGTAAGATTGATATGTTTCATCTGATCAAAATAACACCTCTGAATCTGTGACCCTGAACAGCTTTTCAGTTTCTCTTATCCAAGTAGTTCCTCTGCATTTATTATTCTTGTTCTCTGCTCCTCACACCTTTTCCTCCACTCCTACTGTTAATGTTCATGTCAGGAATACAAAACTAAGTTATAAATAATCTGCAAATAAATGTTTCTTGGTTTGGGGATTTTTTTAACACTGTCAAATGGTGAAACCTTACCTGTTGAATTACGTATTTACACCGAGTGAAGAACACAGCTTTACCTACTAGCAGCTGATGTACTAATATGTAATTAAATTTATAATGAGGGGCAATCAGAACATAGTTTTGACATGTTACCAAAGTGAACCAGCTGGAGTGAATTGTCTCCAGATTATTAAAAAAAATAATTATAAACTGACTTGAAAATAATCCCCAAAGTGTTTTACAAAGGTGATTCCAAGGGATTGAAGCAAAGCTAAAATCAGGCAGAATCAGCAATCTCTGGTGGGTTTAATTCATGCGTGTGCTGTGTCTTGCAGGTGAAGATGAACAATCTACTGAGATGGCTGCAAGGTGGGAAGACGAGAAGGTGACTGAAGCAGCATCAGATGGTTTTGTTGCTATTAAAATTGACACCAAAAGGTTTGAGCCTATTCTAATTCTGTCTCTTACACAATCTTTCATTGATGATGATGAAGAGTGAGAGGCTTTTGAAGTCCTCACACTGATTAGGAGATAATGTAAATACTTGGTTCCAGAGCAGAAGTGAATTCAGTACTCCTGAAGTCCCTAGAGCCTGAGAAAATGTCAAATTTTATTGTTGTGTTCTGCACATACTCATGTATTTCAGACTGTATTCCAGTACGAGTAATAGAATGCTTGAAGTTGCACTTTCTCAACTGGAAGAGACACAAAAATGCTATTAAAAATGCTGTAATAAAAATGCAAGTGCTAGAGGCAGTTCTTGGTTTGCCAAGTTACATAATGAATTAAAAACCTTTCATGAATTCAGAAAGATAAAAATCTGTAAAGCCCCAGAGAAAATGTTTACCTCCATTGTAACACGTAGAATGGAGACGCATTTAAGTTCCTGGGTAAATTACTCAGCTATTTTTGTTATGTTTGTGTTCCAGTCCATGTGCACAAAGTGCACTGACATTTCCCCAAATTGTATTATTTTGAAATGCTCTATAGACATTTTATTAGATTTACTACATTATTTGTGCTCAATAGACTAGATTTCTTTTTCCTGAATTGCCTCTTAGCATTGCTTTCCTTTCCTAACTCTTATGTAGTCAACTGTGATAACCAAGGATTGTCACCATGTCAACACTTTTGCAGAATGTTAATGATAAGATGCAATGCAAATTTGCTTTTAGTGTTCTCTCAAGTATTTAAATAGTTTTGTAGGACAGTTATTTTTATGATGAAAGACTTAATCTGAAGTTGTTGCAAAATGATTGCTACTCCTAAATGAATATTTTCTTTTTAACAGTGAAGCATGCCTGCAGTTTTCTCAAATTTGTATCCTTTGAGATCTGTTTAGATGCTACATTATGATTACAGATAATTGCTCTATACAAGTTAATATCCTTCTTAAGACAAATACTTACAAGCAATGCTATTGAAAATACTTATTTTGGCACAAAACTATGCAATAAACTGTGTAGTTAATAGATACCATCTGTATATTCAACTAGCTGTCAGTTATTAGAGAAAGTGAGCAAATTGGGTTTTTTTATGTTAATTCTATGTAATTCTCTAAATAGAAAATTATCTAAAGCTTTATATAATCTAAATAACCTGTTGGTCCTACTAATCAGCATTAGAAAACAAACAAGAAATGCTTTAAATTTTGATCTGGGGCTCAGAGGTGCAGAGGAGGAGGAACAAGCTTCCAACCCAAGGATCTGGGTTCTGTCACATACACAGGTGTGAAGTTGGGTAAACCCCTGCCTGCCTTAAGGAGGTCACTGCTTATGGTTCATTAGTTCTTTGTGATGCTGGAAATTCTGTACCTTAACTTGGATTTCCTTCATGCTCTGGAGATTTCATTACTGTCTACTTAAAATGTCTGACACTAAAACAAAATCATTCTCAAGTCAAAGCATAATCAGTTGCCTGGAAAGTCAGAGAAAAATACTTTGGCCTAAAGCAGTACAAAGAAAAGAAGAAATGCTTACCAGTTGCATGTGATGTTTGCCAGCATATTTTTTTTGCTTCCTTTTGCTTCCTCTCTTGGCCCTGGCTACTGGTGACCAGTGGGAGATAAGGGCATTGGGCTAGAAACTCCTGTAGGAAGGAGGTCTGCTTTGCCCTGTAAAGTTACTCTGTATCACCTTCTGTCATTCACCACCCTTAACTGTCACTGTATAGATCCTGTAGTGTGCGTCCCATCCAGCTTTTTTATAGGAGACAATGGAATCCCTTTGGAAGTTATTGCTGGCAGCGTTTCTGTGGAGGAGCTTGTTACCAGAATCCATAAAGTCAAACAGGTAATGCTGACAGGCTGGATCTTCCAGATGGAGCTGGCAATGCTCTGGACAGTGATGGCCCTGGCTCTCAGCTTGTTCCTTTGGGAAGTTACTGGTGAAACTAGAACCAGTGAGTTACTGGTTCTGTCCTTCCAACAATAAAATCAGCAACCTTGAATTCAGTACACAGGTTGGAAGCACTGTGCACAAGTGCTGCGTTAATTCTTGTTTTATTCAGATCACCTGTGTAAACCCATAGTACTGAAGAAATGTGTCAAGAACTCTAAACTGGAATGACAAAATGTGACAACTCACCTTTAAGGGGATTACTCTTCAGCTTATAACATGGTTTTGTAATATTGTTCTGTAATGTGGATTTATGAAGTTATAGACAAGTGTAGGTTGCTTTATCACTTTGATTTCAAATGCAAGACTAAAATTAGGAAAAAATATGAAACGCATGATTGTACCATACTCAACAATATGTGGTAATTCTAGTTTTATATTTTCAATAGGACTGATTCTTCAATAATAATTCAGTCTTGACCTTTTAACCTGTGAAAAATATTTGAACTTTCATAGGCTCCATTCTCTCTTTTCCCAATTTCTTAGATGCACACAGGGAAAGGGCGGCCTTTGGAAAATGGCAGTCAGGCATCTGCTCCCTGTCCCTCCTCTCAGTCTGATGGTGCTCCAGAAAGTGCAGAATCCAGAGCAGGGGTTTGTGACTCTCCTAAGGCTGTTATGCCTGAGACAATAGCATCTTCTGCTGGTAATGGTTAGTGTTCTGACACAAACGCCATCTCATTTGCTTTGGAAATGGTTTTTCTTAAGTTGTTACATGACAGTACATAAAAGGCAATATATTGAGCAGACTCACTGAGGAAAAGCTTGGGATATTCCAGAATGCTTTGCACAAGTCTGGAGGGAAGGATAACTTGTCATTCTGCATTGTTTTAATAAGTGAGGAATCTAGGGTTTATAACTCAATAAAATTGTGTATGCTCTCCTGAAAAATGATTAAATTAAAGAGTTTTTTGGCTTAGTAACCTGAAACCAAATTGTTGAGGGGGGGAGTCTTAAGTAGCAGAACCTCATATCTCCTTGAGATATCCCAGTTGCTGCAAATTGTGGCTAGCAATGAGCCTAATAATTTTTATGATAAGAAATACATCTTTCCTTCTTTCTTATGCATTATTTTCTTGTAAATCCCTTGAAGATGAAGCAAACTCACGTCAAGCAAGCCAGGAAGCAACTAATTCTACAGATGAGCAAGCAAATGATGCTCAGCCTGTGAATGATCTTACACGCAAAGTAGAAAGGCAAGTCTTCTTTTGCAGGCTTTTTAATGAGTTGTATTTGCTTCTCAGGAGGCAGTTTTGTTGTGTTTTGGGTTGTTTGGGGTTTTTTAACTAATGCATTTAATTACAGGATTTTGCTCCTTAATCTTTGTCATCTGGCAAATATTTAAGTAGTCGTATTTTGTATTACATGTCTCTGACAATATTAGGGCTGATACCAAACCAGGTTTTTAATTAATATAATTTCTCATGTACTTTGGAAGAAAGAGGTAATCTGGAAAACTCTAAGTATTCTTTGATATAACTTCAATAGAAATGATATGTTTGCTGCAAGTTCTTGAATGAATTGAAACATTGAACTCAAAGTACTGGAAACTGGTGTAATAAAATGCCAACCTAAGTTTTGTAAAGGGATGTCATAATTTCTTGTTGATTCGATGACTTCTTGTAGTGTAGGGATGTTGAAAAAGTCAGTGGAATCCTATTCTGAGACTCATGCTTTGATCAGTGAACAGTAATGAGTTGAGTTTAGTTTTTTGAAGTATGGTGATCAGAAACACCTGGCTCAAAATATGATTAATTCATTATTCATTGTTTTTAAATAAGGGATATTATTTCTAAACTTGTTTTTAATAAGATTGATACTATTTGAAATATCCTGTCTAAAACCATAACACAAGTTTAGCAAATAGGAATATTTATAATGCTAAAATATATCTTAAATATTTTTTATGCATATTTCAGTGTTCTTCCAAAGTTATTGGACAAGAGGTATATTTTTTACTTACCAGTTCTTCAATGATCAGACAATGCAGTCAATATTTTAATACAATTATCAATGTTCCTTTTAAAAAAATGCATTAGTCTTACATACAAATCTGGCATAATTTATCTACAGCATTTTTTTGCAAGGGGGAAGAAGAGGCCAAGCTCAGTGGTAGTTATGAAAACAGCTACCATACAAACATTTTTCTGATTATATGACTTTTCACATTGGGTCACGCCTGCCCTTTCCCCAGACCTCAGATATGCTGGGATTTTATTGTCAATCCGTATTGAGAAATTTACTTTGTTCTTTTAAGTCAATCTTTATTCTGAAGGATTTTTCTGGATAGCTAAGACAGATGCATGTGCTTCTATGTCAGGGCTAAATATTACTTGTGTTCCCTTTTAGGAGGTGATGTGCAGAAGAAACCAGATGGCTTAAATATCTAAAACGAGATTGAGATTTAGTGTTTATGTTGCCACAGATCATAAATAGTATTTGCTTATTGTATGTCTTCATAAGTTGGTTTAACAGTAGGAATATATAGGATTCTTCATTTAATGAGTGGAAAAAGGACAAAAGGAATATGTTAGAACAACTCTAAAAGTGCAAAAGGAGGTGGTGAAATCACCACCACCCTTTGCATGGATGGTGCACCCGCATGGGAATGAATCACTGCTGGTACACAAAGTATTAGCACTGTGCTACAGCTCATTTTCATGTGTTCTCCTGGGCTTGCGAATGCTTCATTAACATTTCAAAATACTGCAATGATAAGACTTTTCACTTTGTTCTTAAATTTAGGTTAACAAAAAGGCTTGAAGAAAGAAGAGAGGAGAAAAGGAAAGAAGAAGAACAGGTAACACAAAAATGTAAAAGCCCTTGCAGTTGTTTTTTTCATATACCCTTATTTGAAAAAAAAATGTTTAATTCCTTCTAAAACAAACATACTTCAGTCTTTTCTCTTGTCCAATTTGTCTATCTCTCTATTCAGAAAGAAATTAAGAAAGAAATTGAAAGAAGGAAAACCGGTAAAGAAATGTTGGAGTACAAAAGACGACAGGAAGAAGAATTGACCAAACGTATGTTAGAAGAAAGGAACAGAGAAAAGGCAGAAGAGAAGGCTGCTAGAGAGCGCATAAGGCAACAGATTGCAATGGTAAATTTTGCATTTTGGAAGAAAGCTTGCTGCTTCTCTCTCTCTCTCAGTGTACTAAAATGATAAATTTTCTCATTTGATGAAGCTTTGAAAGATTGTTCATTTTTCCATTGGGAATCCTGTGGCCTTGTATAGTAACGATTTTTGTGTTTGGGGAGTATATAGCATTTCCTGTGTATAAAATGAAACTTCTGCTTTCATCTTTACAATTCTTTTCTATTTGAACAAATATTTCTGTCATATTGCTTGAGCCTCGTGGAGAATTATCATATAAACATAAAAATAATTGCAGTTTAAGCATGGTACTAAAAGAGAAGCACAGTATTTAATTGTAGAACATACACAAGAATGCTGCTCTCAAAATGACAAGGAGAATTATTTTCCAAGTTAGTATATATGTGTGTGCATATATGGATATAAATAGTGGTAACAACTGGAATTCTTCCTCGTTATTAGGTTTTGGTATAGGACACTTAGAATTGCAGTCCTGTAATCTGTCTTAAGTTTTTTGCCTTTATCTTCCCTGGAGTGTTGAGCTCACATGGGAGGATCATCTATTAACAACTGGTTGTGGGAAGTGACTCAGTGATCTTGGCTAATGACATAAGTTTGTGCAGTTTGGCAGCGATTAATTCTTTGCAGTTCCACTGTCTTTTCACCATATGGTCTGTTTGTATCTGTGCAGTTGGTTCATGAGTATAGATCATAGCTGTCTCTTTTAAGGAATGTTAAGTAACAAGTTCTGTTAACAATTAAGGTTTCCCTTTGATCCTTCCACAGGATCGTGCTGAGAGGGCAGCTCGCTTTGCAAAATCGAAGGAAGAAGCAGAAGCTGCAAAAGCTGCAGCTCTTCAGGCTAAACAGGCTGAAATAGAGGCCAGAAAAGAGGCAGCTCAAAGGGAACGAAGGTGAGTTGTAGTAGACGCAAGTGTGTATCTTGGGGTGAAGAGGTAAAGAAACCTTTTTAAGAGAGTTAATGTATATCCTAATCTCTTGGCAACATGTTGCTGTGTTGAGCTGTTTAAATAGTAACATTGAAGGTAGCTATTTACATGAACATTATGTTCTTTGATAGCTTTCATCCTTTTGGCGTTTGTGATCATGAAACACTAACCACCTTTTCTCAAATGTTATTCTAGTTAGATAAGAGCTTTTAGTGTGTGAGCTTTGATTTAAATACCAGTATAATGGCACTTGGTGGAGTCCTAGATAAGGTGAGACTGCACAAGATATTCTGGACAAAATGACTCAATAATGTCAGCATGCTGGGCAGTCCAGGTGCTGTGGGTCCAGGGGCTGTGTGTGTGGATGGTTTGGATTCAGCAAGGCTGGGCTGGAGCCATCAGCTGCCCGTGTCAGGGCTGTCTCCTGCTTTGCCCAGTACTGCTGGTTTAAGAATTATCTGAACCTATGGGGACCTTATATGGAGTTATGGAAAAGATGCATTGTGACAGATCAGCAGGTGGTTTTCCACTGTGAATTCAATCTTATAACCCATCTGCACTGCCCTGGGCAGGATGACTGTCACTCTGTCCTACATTTCAGTACTACCAAGCCTAAGGCCCAGGAGCCTTTGTCTGTAAGTGTTCATGTCCTGACTGACCCCAATATGTGTCCCACAGTGCAATAGCCAGGATTCAGTTCCGCCTCCCTGATGGATCTTCCTTCACTAACCAGTTCCCATCTGAAGCACGGCTAGAAGAAGCCAGGCAGTTTGCTGCACAGGTAAATGGGCATTTTGTTTCTCAGCTATGTGCTGATTATGATTTGGTGAGCATCAAGTAGTTGTTGATGGTGGTAGAGTTGTCATCAACTCCTTTCCGTGTTGGGTATTTGAAGAAAGTTTTGGGAGCAGCCTTCTCCAGTGCCACCAGCTGCCTTTGGATTGTTGCAGTTTATCATTAGTAAGAGATAGAGAAAAATGAAAGATATTTCAAAACCTGCTCTGAGGATGATTGATAGTTTGATACAGAACTCTTGTTAAGGTATACTCAGCTAGCAAACATGCAGTTGTTTGAAAATGAAGTTATAAATAAAATGTTTTATGTATTTCACAGACGGTTGGTAACACTTATGGCAATTTTTCACTGGCGACAATGTTTCCCAGGAGGGAGTTTACCAAAGAAGATTATGGAAAGAAGTTACTAGAACTCGAGCTAGCACCCAGTGCTTCAGTAGTGTTGCTGCCGGTAGGTGTTGGGTTTTGGTATGTTTGATTTTTCAAACAGCAGTACAGTAGCTGATATTTGCTGTTAGTCAGCCATGATAGTGTTTGGCTTGAATTTGGAGATTTTCTTTGTCTAAACAGATTGCAAAATTATTCTAGTTTTTGTCAGAGCTGATTTGGAGAAGTTTTTCTGAAGCAGATAAATGGTGGCATAGATACTAGTCTAATGTGTAACCAAAGTTGTTCCTTTGTGTCTACTGAGCTTCAAAATGTTGTGTGAAATACTCTGTCCGCAAGAGCAGGACTTTAACACCTGACAGGTTTGCTTGGTGTGTTCATGACAGGCGGGAAGACCTGCGACTTCTGTTGTTCAGGCTTCAGGCAGCGATCTGTGGAAGTTCTTGGGCACAATCCTTTATCCCCTTTTAGCGGTTTGGAGATTCATTAGCAACTTTCTGTTTACGAGCCCACCTCCCTCACAGCCCTCTGTGAGATCAGCCCATCAGCGAGACCACTCATCTCCCTCAGCGTCGGGCAGCATTGAGCAAAGCAGGTAAGGCAAAGCATTTAAGGCAGCTTCTTGCTGCAATTGCTTTAATCTTGTAGTGGGGAACTGAACTTCCAATTACACAGTAGAAAAAGCATTGTCTTGCAGTCATTTATGAATAGGGAATTCAGCTGTAACTACAAAGGTGAGCTTCACTTCAGCTGATACTGTTCAGAAGATAAAAATGTTAAAAATGAGATAGCAAACTGTTATGGGATGGTTGTTCAAGTAACAGAAGCAGATGGAGTTTGGTTTTGACAGGTTTTGTATTGCCTAGAGAATGAGATCTCCCATGTACTAGGAGAGCTGCTCAGCTGTTTCTGGTGAAGAATCCACATCTTGCTTCAATGACAGGGAAAATGAGAGTCTGCCGCTCTCTCTGACTGCTGAATTTTCACCTGGGTATTGCTTCCCAAGGAAACAAAGGGATGAAGAAAACTATTATTGAGGATAAGAGAAGGATGGATGATTTGTGTTTATTGCATTTGCTGCTTCTCTTATGTAATTATTACTGAGGAAACTGTCAAACCTCACTGTTTTGTGCCCTAGGCAAGCAGTCAGGAAACGAGTAGTGGAAAAGCGGGGGGAAGACTTCAAAAAAGAAGGCAAAATATATAGACTGAGGACTCAAGATGATGGAGAAGATGAAAACAATACTTGGAATGGAAATTCTACACAACAAATGTAGTTTTGAGTAACTGCAGTTACTATCAGGCTGCTTTTCTTCTTTTTTTTCTTTTTTTTTCTTCTCTTATTTGATCTAAGTCAACTAAAGCTTCTGGACAAGTGGGGCTTATTTTACACTGACTGAATTACTTAATTCTTATTCCTGTGGTGGATTATGGAATAAAGTCACCTGTGTCAGAAAAATCAAGTGGGTGTAAGTGGAAACTATGAGGGTTTCAGAAGCACTCTAAGTAGCAAATCAGGTAACTAATTTATGTTTAACTTTTTTCTTGCTTCTGCAACTGCAAGCAAAACCTTGTAGTTTTTAATTCCCTAAGCACTCAATAAACTATTTTCCAGAAAACACGACTGTCTTGTGAAGTTCCTCTGATGTTCTGGTATCACAAGGAAGCAAGCAGGGTCATGCACTGAAATTTAAAATATAGCAGACAAACATTTTTTTCCAGTTTAAATGACCTTACTGTACATGAAATAAAGGAAAAGGAGGGGGGGAGTGAAAATCCAATCTGTACAATAGCTGCAGTATAACAGTTTTCACCAGGAGAGACACTAATTTGTCTTAAAATTCTAAGAAGCTGGGGAACTTCCAGGGGTCCTTTCAGAACTGTTGATGATGAAGCAAGGACAGATGCCAGGTGATGTTCAGAATCCTTATATGCAGACAGGAACAAGCAATTTTACTTTGATCTTTAAGAAATCAAATCAGTAATGCCCATGAACAAAAGAGACAGGTCAACATAGAAAAATAACTTTCCCTTTTTAAATTGGAAAGCAAACAACAAAATGCTGGGGAGCCATCTCTGAGACAAGACAGAAAGCTGCAATACTGCAAGCACTAGTTTCTCTTCCTGGTGCTATATAGACTGGGGTTTTTTTAAGAAAAAACAAACTAAAACATTTTATGAGGTGGAAATATTACATTTTACTACTAAGTTCTATGTGTGATTGTTTATGGGATCTTTTGGACAATTTTCCGTATTTGTATGCAAAAAGAGCCAAGCTCAGTGCTCCAACTGCAGAAAGAGCAAAAAGCACATAGAGTGCTATTTCTGCATCTTGGGATGTCAAATCCAATCCCAAAAAGCTCACGATGTCAGCTGTTCCTGGAGTGGGGTCTGTTGGTGTCACTGAATGGGAAAAACAATGAGAAAGTGTTAGTGAGAGCCTTGGGGAACCGTTCCATGCAGGTGTGAGTGCTGCTGTTTGCTGCATCCACCAGGCTTTTAACTGTGTTCAGTACTCTGGCAGGAGCTGTAATTCTGGGATCAGGGATTGATACAATTCTAGCTCAGAGTAAAGGCACAGCTGAGGCTGACAGTGCAATTCCTGATAGTATTGGTGATTCTCATTCCCAAATCCCCACATTAACACTGGTTGCTTTTCATTGCACTACTCCAGTTGAGAAGACACAAATAATGATAAAAGAATCACTATTTCCAAAGCCTTACCCAAAACAAAGATTTGTATAAAGTATTCAATTTTTTTTCTAAACAATCTTGTGGGAGTATTGAATGTGTGTGGTTTGGAAAACATCTTTTCAGGTGTGCCCTTCAGAACAGGGCAGTTTTGTTGGAGAAAAGTCTAATGGAATAACTTTTGCTACATTTTTAAGATAGACGTGTGTTGAGGTGCTCTTGCACAAGGTTTAGCTGCTAGTCTGATTTTGCATAGGGAAGTGACATTGACTGAGGTCTTAAAAAATTCCTAATAAATAATAGAATACTTAATACTGAATAAAAATACTTAAAAAAAATAGCGCAGAAAATGGTGGTGTCTCTAAAAACCTTAGACTATGGAATTCTTGGGATTAGGATTAGATGCAAACACACAAGCACCATTTCTGCTGCATCACTTACCTTCTGGCTCCTGTTCCAGACAGGGATGTGGGCCCGTTGCTGGGTCTGGAAAGCCATTGCAGTTTATGATCTGTGAGTAATACTTGGCTGAGGCCTTGGGGCGCCGTGGCAAGGCAGGGTCTGAGAAATTCACATGGTAGAGGCCAAACTTCTCCTCATAACCTGCTGCCCACTCGAGGTTGTCCATCAGTGTCCATGCAGTGTAGCTCCGTAAGTCAACACCGTCGAGTACAATGGCTGCAGGCAGGAGCAGAGAGGAGAGAGAACAGGTCAGTGGTTGTGAACCCCAGAGCAGCCAGAGCAGGAAGGTGCTCCAGAACATCCACACATGGCACACAGTGAGGTTCTTGCCACTTGGGACTCATTGGTTTTGTTCTCCCCATTCCCACCTCTCTCCTGCCTTGACTTGCCTCAGCTGCTTTGAGGTAGCTCAGCTGCCAAGTTACAGCCAACAAGTAGCCAGGGTAGTTCACTCAGTGCCCAGGACTGGACACTGCTTTTCTCTGCTCCAAAAATCAAAGCTTTTGTGCAACAACCAAACGTTTAGGAATAGAGAAGAAAACCCATTAAAATGCAACCCATTGCCTAAACAAGTGTTTGTGGGGCCTTGCTGCTACAAGGCAGTAAATGCCTAAACACCTGGCTGTTCCAGTACATCAGAAAAGCAAACTGAAAAAGCCCTTTCCTGAAGTTGTTTGACCACTGCTGTAACTGAAACCAGGTTGGGGGCTGGGTTTTTAGTGTTGTTTTTAAAAAAGATGCTGTTTTTAGACACAGCAGTAGTCAAGACTAGAAGGAGTTAAGGAGTTCATCAGGTACTAGTACCTTCTTTCATGAGGTGCAGCAAATCAGGGAACCTGCAGGTTACCCCACTAAACCCAGGGTTTGTTCTTCCTTTAGATCTTCTTTCCTGGCACATTTGTGACTATCTGTGGACCGTTTTTGGCACACCCAAAGGCTCTTTGAAATGGATTCAGTAAGCCCATGTAACTGTGTAACTTGCAAGTGTGATGGCAGTAGTCTTTCAGCTCTTTGCAGCCTGCTTTACACACATCAATCTTGTGGTAAACCCACTGCTGCTCTCTAGAGCTTTGGGTGACCAGATGTCAATAATCACTCTTACCTTTGAGTGCCTCATTAATGTAGGTCCGAAAGTAATGCATTCTCCAAGTGTCATTGAATTGAAAGGCTCCCCTCTCTGAGACCCCATTTTCTGTCACATAAATGGGAGGGTTGTTGTACTCTTCCTTTATCCACTTGAGGATCTTCCTGAATCCAAAGGGCGTCACCTTCAGCCAGAGGGAACCAGAGCTCAGCCAGCTGCGGTCGGTCACTGTGGCTACACCCCTGTGGAGGACGACACTGCTCAGGGCCAGTCCCAGTGCCAGGCACCTCTCTGCCCAGGGTTGAGGTGCTACTGCTGCTGCTCACAAGCCTAAAAACACTTCTCATGCTTTGAGTTACAGTAACACTCTGTGTAAATCAGCTGTGCCTGACGATGTGATGTTGGTTCCAAATCTTTGTATACTACAACACCATTTCTACTTTTCAAGGCATAATGCAGTGCTTGAGCATGCAAATTTGCCCTTTATATTACATGTAGGAATGTAATGAGCCCACTGTCCTACAGAGTTAAATTATAAGGGGCTGGGATCTAGCAGCAAAGGAAAGTTACAACAATTTCATCTATTCCCTGTGGAAACATTTTGGAAAGGAGACAATTTCACCTCCATGTGTCGTCCCCACCAGTACCTGAATTCTCATTAGAAAAACTAGTAAGCTCCTATTGTTTACTTTTAGAAGTTGAAGAATGAAATTAGCATCTAAATAAAAAGTCTTGACTTAATCTATACTTAACCATGAAGTGATTTAGCTATTTAGACTTTGAACTTACATTTATCCAATGCAGTGAGGGACCTAAACCTGTTTAACAACAAACCAGGGTAACACCTCACAGTTTAAACTGCAGATTGAAGGCAATATGATAAATTATGATAATTTTATGATAAATAAAAACAAAGGAAATATGATAAAAATATTTTTTTATCACCTCATGTCTAAGAGAAAGGCTGTTGCTGGACTTTTGTGAAAATAACAGCACCTCAGGTACTGCTCAGTTATATTATCCCTAGTATTGGTTTATAACAACTTAAAACACCTATCTCACAGCTTTATTTGCTATAATTTTACACTTGTCAGTTAATCCAGGCTCCAGGTGTGCAGATTTTACTTGCACAATAATTTACATTTATCTCTTACCTATCAGAGTCATATGACATAACACCCTTAGGATAGTTTAGGTTGTATGTTAAAACTGTGGTATAATGATTTAGACCAAAGTAGTCATATGTGCCTTTAATTCTTTGTTTTTCACTTTCAGTAAATTCTGGAAGTCTGCAAGAGAAAACAGAGAATACACTTTGCACACACTCCATGCATAATGCTGGGATCCCTGGTACCAGCACCACAAGCACAAGAAGAGAAACTGGGAATGAAAAACAATAAATGTAACTGAGGAGGACCAATGAGTTCAGGATATAGTGTTAAGAAAAGTTAAATGAATTTACCACAGGCATCAGATAAAGTACTGTGGCTAATGCAGGGCAGTTACTGTATCACTGAGCTGACAATTTATTACCCAAAGATATATTAGCCAATTTAGTTTGCAAGAGGGGTAAAGACAAGGAATAGGCAAAGCCCCCCGCCTAGATTGGAACTAAGTGATCTTTAAGGTCCCTTCCAACACAAACCATTCTGTGATTCTTTGAAAATGTACACTAGAATTTTTCTGTAAGGATACAATAAGCCTTTTTTACAGTAATATTGGAATAGAATCACTGAAATGTATAATTTCTGTAAGAAAAGCATGTTTCAGCACAGCCAGTGAAACAAAAGCAGGTGTGTGCCTGGGCTCTTACCGGGATTTGCTCAGGCCCTGAGCCAGACTGCGTTCCCGAATCCTTCTTTTCATCACTTCATTATAATCACCATTTTTGAAAATAGGGTGAGCAAACCAACCTAGAAAAAACTAAACCAGGAAATAAGGCAGGATAAATTATATATCAAAACATGGGATTTAGCCATTCCTCAGTCCTTTGTGCTGCTTTATAGGTGATACCTAAACTTATAACAGGCACATGGAGATACAAAGGGATGCCCATATAACAGCAGTAAATTTAATAAGCTTTTGTCACTGCAAACATACTTTGTCTCATTTCTGTTGCATTCTTGATCAGCCCCCATAAAGGGATACATTTCCTTGCAGTGATGCCTCTGCCTCACTGTTTTATTTCAGTGAGATGCTGGCCTGTGTCTGGGCACATCCAGCACGGGAAGAGAGGGTGTCACCTGG